AAAAAAACATATGTTTTGGTTCTGATTATCATGTTTATTGCACTGAAATCATGCGTTTTAAACCATATTAGTTTAAACTTCTGAGATACGGTTTTCTGAGTGCACACGTACAGAAAGCGGCTGTCAAAGCATGTGAGTACTAAACTAAGTTCTCATTCACACACAAGTTTACGTTAAAAACACACGAGTTACAAAACGGTCGGTTATGTCTGTGAAGGTAAACCGCTGAGAAATAAGTCGCACGTTTATTTTAGATCTGTGTAACAGCAGCAATATACATTAAATAAATCCACTGCTCTCATCTCCTCTGAGGCTGGAACTCTAAATAGTGTTCTGTGCTCGTATGTGCAGCTAAAGACAGAACAGTTAGCATGTTTTGCTCAAACTTTTGCCATGGCATTAGAACTAGTACACCGTTGTCGCTTGCGAAAACACAATAACGGTGCCTTGAGTGGAAACTTACAGATTAAGGGGCGGTAATATTATAATGAGATCCCTTTGCCACGTCACCAAGGGAGCGAAATCTGATGCGTTCGTTTTCTCAGACGCTTGCAGAAAAAGGCTTCCCAAAACAAAGTTACTGGGTTAATCTTTTTCACGTTTGCTTGGTTGGTAGATGCACTGGGGACCTGATTATAGCACTTAAAACCTGGAAAAGTCCGATTTTCATGATATGTCACCTTTAAGTAATTGGTTAAATTCAAGTATTTGACATTAAAGACAACACAGACACAATTATTATGTTGGTGATAAAATTGGCCTCACAAATGTAAAAAATGCCCCTGATAAATCAATTACAGGAAAAGTGGAAAAGTTAATTTCTGACCCTGGTCCATTCTATTTCTAAATAAAACTAAAGCCTGCACTCTGAAATGTAGAGGGCAGAACACGAGAAAAAGAAAGAGATTGAAAGAGAGTCCTTTGCTGCAGAGGACTCCTCAAATCCATTAACACAGCAGAGATAGAACATAAAGGATGACAGCAGCAGGGAGGCAGAGAGGAAAGCCCCCAGGGATGTGATCAGACGCACATCTTTCAAGCTGACAAAAACTACACACGGAAAAAAGACAGCGTGCACTCTGAGATGTTTATAGACTGTTACAACTCTGGTTTCTCTAAACCAACATGAGCTCACATACTTCAGAGCACATTTTATCTAGGATATCACCCCTTATCTAGCACAAACAGTACTGATGGACTGAAAACGTAAAAAAAAAATCTGCTTGAAGACTAGCATTGTGAAAGTAGAATGTAGGCATGGCTGACTTCAGGTGTACTGCCTGTATTCCCTGCTGGTCCCCTTGTTTGTCTTCAAAGCAAGCGGTGCGCTATTATGAGCTAATCTACAGCAGATCAATACGGCACACTCCAAGCATGTTCAGCCTGACTAACACAATCACTTTTTACATGGCTTCTCTGCAGAGACACAATGGATCTCTATGGACATGCACTGTCGCATTTTTGCTGTTTTCCTGAGGAGAAACATTGTAGCAAAGTATTTCAGCTGCTCCGCGACATCAATGTTTTCGCTTCAGTGTTTTAAACTGCTCAACATGGGAAGCTCCATATTCAACGAAACAGTCAAAATATTTTTTGTGGACTATGTTTTGGAATGTAATTACAGTCAGGTGAACCACTGAGACAAGGTGAATGATCGTTCGTGCAATAAACATTGATTTAACAACATAAGCTGTGTGACATTAAAACCTAATGTGGTTAGATAAGAAAAAAAAACTAAGAAGAATTATTGTTTTTCCAGTGAAAACCCATCAAATGTGAGCTGAATTTTGGGAATGTGAATTTTAGGTTTTAACGAAATTATAAGAGGACTCAAAAACTGTACATTTAACAGTATTAAAATATAAAAATGTTGAACAGTGACTGCAAACTTGAAGTGATAGACAAGCAGTTATTAAAATATGTTGCATGCTGTACTTGTCAATTCAATGATAACCTCATAAATATGCAAATAACAATTTTAACAGGGTTTGCAGTGTGAAATCTCAAAACCTGACTACTCGAGACTAATTACTAATTTATAATAAAGTACAAGTATTCTAGAATTAAGTTTACTAGGATTAAGTTCACTAGGATTAAGTCAAAATGACTTTGGGTGAACTATTTCAAGTGTGAAAAACTCTGTAGCGCCTATCTAGTAGGTAGTATATCTCTGCAAGTACTCAATTACAAGAAGTTCATTTTCCACCTCCCAAACTGCTTCCATTTATGCATGACAATTTCCCTTTAGTAATACAGACAAGGTCAAAGCAAAGACGTGGGTTTCTCAATAAATTCTTGAAATCATTTTATTTTGCACCTCAAAACAAGAAGGGAATGAGTATGTGGTACATTGGGAATGTAGACACAGCTGTACTTTTACATTTTTTTTTTTTTGGTGTAAGCTCAGAGAAAACAAAATTGTTAATACAGTCATAATAATTGCACTTTATAAATCTAGACTGTAGCCAGCTTTTTGCCTCCGCCAGAAACCTGTGTCGACTCTCTTGAGTTTCTAAATTCAATTTACCGGTAAAATTTGACTGACAATAGAAATGCTAATTTAACGTTAGGGACCGCTGTGCCCATCCAATTTTTCTTTATTTCCCCTCTCTCTGTCCCACAAGGCATTAGTCTTCTCAGTAATCTAAGTGCAGTACATTCACAGGAAAGTCACAGTCGGAATAAATATTTCAGTGTTGAGACAAAGCTTACGAGCGGCCCCAACCTGGCTCGAAACTACTAGCACAGAGCTGAGAAAATCGCTCGTCACCTCTCCTTCCACCTCTGTTCGAGAGAGGCAATGATTGTTTTTATCGTTTCAAAAAGAGGACTGGTCAAGTGACACCTCTGATAGTTTAACTCCCCTCACGCCCTCATTTAATGGTCTCACGTGTACTTCGAAACTTCGAAGCCATGAGGAAAGAGTCAATTGATCCCTAACCAATCAAGAACAAGCTTTCCAACAACAGACAGCTCATTTTCAGAATTCCAAATCAGATTCATTCAGTTTATATGATGTTCCTTTTGAAATAGACCCGATCGGCCTAATCTTGTTAATGAGAGCGGTCTCATTTCAGAGCTTTCACACAACCGGTTCCTTATATATCTGCTTATTTGGAGATTTGATTCCAGTGTAGGTAAATAAATGAGCATTCTGGTGGTGGTTACACCGCAAGAACAGCAGAAACTTATACTGCAGCCAAAGGAGAATAAAATCAAAATTAAAGACCCTTAACGAAACATAAAAAAACCTAAGCATTTTACACTCTTACTCCCTTAGCAGCCAATGCATATTATATACTACAAATATATATATAAAACAACAAAAATAGGTTCAAGTCTTCAAGTTCTTTAAATACATTATATCCGAACGTCTAATTTCCCACCTCCCAAGACTTTCACACATTTTTACACCCCAAGCAGTGCAGTTTCTTTGAAAAAACAAGGTTTTTCCATTTTATCCATTAGCGTCACCTAAAAGCACTGATCTAGTTGCCTTTTTGGTCTTTGAAATGTTGTAATGCGTGCATACCGTTACCTCTTACAGTGTTCTGTGAGCACAGGTTCAACCGTATCTTGTATCTTTTACAGACAAGCGTGGTGCTTTAAGACCATCATCTTCACCGCGTTAATCCAAATAGTTACTTGGGGAGGAGAGGAGGCCATTTTTACTTCATTTAAACTATTGACTCTCACCAAAAATAAAAATATTAGTCTGATAAAATAATTCGAAAGGAAAAATAGAAAAACAATTGGAAAACAACAAAAAAAAATCCCTCTTGGCAAAAAGAGAGAAAAGAATCACAGAATCCACATTTAGGAACATTCCAATTCCCAGCCAGCAATTCTCTCCCAGCTCTGAGCCGAGAGGCACCGATTGGCTTTCCAGCATTCACCCAACCGTATTCTGATCCAGATCTCCCCCAGTCTGCTTTGAGCAGGATCACCAAACTCCACTGCAAATCTAGGCAATGGCAACAACTGCAGTTTGTGATTAAAGATTTTGCAGTCGCTCTTTATATCAGTCAGCCCCGTCTCTTCTTATCTGTAAACAGGGAGGCGTATGTGTGCATGCTGGTGGTCCAATAGTCTCGGCACAGACACGGTCTCGTATCCCTTCCCCAACATCTGCTCCTTGATGCAGGGAGGATGGATGTCATTGATCAGGTATTCCAGTGACTGCAGACTGCTGCTCAACACTGACGTATTACATAGACTCTTACTGGGCAAACTGCAGCACAGACCACCCGTGCTGTCTATGGGCGGGTGGTGATGATGGTGGTGGTGATGATGATGAGGGTGCTGGTGAGGGTGGGGGAATCCCAACTCCCTGTGTCCCGTCACCGGTCCAGCTGTGGTCGTAGCTCCTGGAAGCTCCTGTGGGTTGTAGCAGTCGCTGTCCGGCGTCACCAGAACGCTGTTCCACGGCGGTGCAAAGTACTGACCGACAGAAAAGTTCCCATGCATCCCCACACAGTTCAAAGGGGAGGAGCTGACCTTGTCCAGCCCACCCCCACCGCTCATACTGGCCGTCATCGGGTAACCTCTGGAGGAGGACACTTGCGCCCCTCCGAGCATGATGGACCCTCCTGGGGCGCAGGTTTCGGGCGACTTGCTTATGGCACCTCCGCCTCCGCTCCCTTCGCTGTACATCCTCAAAACCACCTGCTGCTGCTGCTGTTTTTGCCACAGGAGGTAGTCCATACCGTCGGGATACACCCCGGCCTTCATCGCCTCCCCGTTGTGCCCTGGCAGCACCGTCCCTGAATAGGCCATGTTTCCCTGCGGAGCCACACTAGTGACGTAAGTCCCCCCTGAGGAGTTAGCAGTGCCCGGTTTGGATGGGCTGGGGTTCGGCGGTCCCGTCGATGCCCCGTTCTGACACACCTGCTGTAGAGCCTGGGCCTGGCAGTGCTGGTTGATCTGGTAAATGATGCTCTGGATGGAGGGAAGATTCGACTGAGGAGGGAGGTTCAATCCTCGACCCCCCGCAACAGGGATCATGGAGCTGGCCACAGTGACATTAGGGGGGACCGCCAGAGCGGTGGCCTCTGGCGGTTTGGGAGGCCCTGTGTGGTACACAATCTGTCCGTGGCAATGACCTAAAGTGCTGCTGTTGGGAGGCGGATAAGGAGCCACTGCTATCTGCGCCGGAGACAACTTAGTCCTCCTGCCCTCTGAGTTTTTGAGGACGCCCTTTGTGGAGGGTGCGAAAGATGACGAGGAAGATGAGGATGACGACAATGAGACCTTGACCATCGCTAACAGACCCTGGTAGCCCCCTGTGTGGAGGTGTGGGTAGGGGCTGTAGCGCTGTCCGGTGGTGTCGTATCCGTTCACAGTCCGGTTAAGGTGCTTGTGTTGGGGGACCCTGATGTTGGTGGGGAAGATCTTGATGGACAGAGGGCTGTTGGCCGTCTTCTGCGCGTAGGCATCCAGCTCTGCTGCGCTGGGGTAGCGCGGGGAAGGCATGGGGACAGTCAGCTCACCTGCAAGACAAAAAAATACGTAAGAAAACCATGAGTCAGAGTTACGGCCCACAACCTATTTGTCATTTGGAGCTTGAAAGCTACCGGTCACCATCTAATTCATCAGCAGCCAGCACATTCTTCTAAATAGACACTATTCTACATACCGTACTTGTGTGCACATCTCCATCCATTTTAATAGAGACGAGTGTGCTAAGCCTCAATGAGTCAGTCTGAATGACTACGAAAATGTCAGCTAAGAACAAAAATTTTATGGTACAAACCATAGACGCGTAATTCACAAATAATGTGAATATTGAAAATTTTTAATTCACCCTGTCTATAGAAACTATTTTATTCCTCACCCAGTCCTCTCTCTCTCAGTGGAGGTTCATCCCTGGATAAACAGCTCTTTTTTAACTCGAAATTAGGCACCTAAGGCATTATTAAACCAGCGCTTTGTGAAATTAATTTGGCCTCTCTATTGTTCAAAATTGGGTTACCCTTGGAGACGGAAAGGAGAGCGAGCAGGAAGTAAGGAGGATAAAATACTTGTTTAATTGCACTGACACATTTGAGATTTATAAGTAGCACCAGTAGGTCTTAGCCTTGGCCAGGCCAATTTCTCAATTATTCAATCAGACCATCTCCAAATGAAGAGATAGACCTACATTACCCCTCCCATGAACCCCTGAAAACTCCACCCACTGGGAATCCATAACCGGGTTTTTTTCAGCCTGTACCGAGAAACTGTGAGACAAAATGTACTGCAAGAGCTTTGTCATAAAACATGATTGAGACATCCATAAAAAAACTGCGCTGCGAAACGGACTCGCACCTATTAAAACGCAAAGACCCACATGTTGGGCAGGACAGGAAATTATAAAAAAACCCAATAAGCCTTAATGTCTCCGACAGCAAGACAAAGTGTCCTTGTAGTTGGACTCTGTTTTGGCTTGATCGGGGTTTCGAATCAGGCCTGTTCAGAGAAACCCGGGGCTTTTGGGATTCTGAGAAAAACAACTTGGGGAAACAAGGAGAAAGAGCTGCGAGAGGCAGCACAGAGGATGAGCGGAGGTGAAGGGCTGTGGTGAGATTGGATTTAAACGACATTATTCAGGCAATTTCATGGCTACTTAGTTCAGTGCTACAAAAAGCAGAGAGGGAGCGGGCAAAGCACTCAATTTACAAGTGATAAATCAACTGCCACAAATGACTACCAACTCTCTCAAAAATTATATTTTAAGGAAAGTGTGCATATTTTCTGCTTGTTTTTATCATTCTGACTAAAATTAAACTGCCACAAATGACAGTGTCAGCAACTGTCAGAGTGGTTTTCCAGAACTCCGGGATCCAGCTGTGAGGAAGTTGTCACATTTCTGATTGTCACACATCCTTTCCTCTCTAGCTTCCATTAAGCTGACACAGGTCAATCACTCAAGCAGCTAAATCCACATCATCCATTGCTCTAAGCCCTTAAAATCTAATAGCGCATGGTAAAAAAAAACCGTGATGTGGTTGCAGTCAAGAAAACAAATGTTTAGCAATTAATGTTTTTGAAAAAAGTCGCAACATACACTGTCAAATCTGCAGAAGCAGCTGATAAATGATTACATTTTGTTTTCAAAATAGTTTCAAAATCATTAGAATTAGGGATGCACGTATCGGGCCCGATACTGAGCTTCTGTACTCGTACTCGTTAAAAAGCCCCGATACCACACAACATGTGATAAGTGCCACATTCAGACAAAGAAATACTGACAACAGACAGCAGAATGGAGTTATTAGAGATTAAGTTTGTAGTTTGGTCGGATATGTCCTAAACAAGTAAAACAATGCACAAGTTACTTAACGGTAGGGGGAGAGAGAGAGGGAGAGAGAGAGGGAGAGAGAGAGGGAGAGAGAGAGGGAGAGAGAGAGGGAGAGAGAGAGGGAGAGAGAGAGGGAGAGAGAGAGGGAGAGAGAGAGGGAGAGAGAGAGGGAGAGAGAGAGGGAGAGAGAGAGGGAGAGAGAGAGGGAGAGAGAGAGAGAGAGAGAGAGAGAGAGAGAGAGATCAATTGTGTGATCTTTGATGTTCACTCACTTAGCACACGCATCATTTGGATTAAAACTAAATCGTAAAAATAAGACCATTTATAGGGGCATTCACTATAAACATAATTTATTTTCAATTTTTAGGCAAACATGACTTTCAGGCGAAAGTGAATCTAGCCTGTGTGAAATGCGCTAAGCTGTACTTGTCCCTCTCATTCTGCACCAGTACAAATATGTGCACACGTTGCGCGTGTTTTGCTTGCTTGAGTGTTTCTGCATTATATGAGTGGCTTTGGAATATAAATCGCAGCACGTTTCAGATTAAAAAACCCGCGACTTCTATTTCTGAAAATATCACAGTTAGGAGATTTATAACGAGTGGTTCCCTGCATTATTACAGCAAAGCATGTGATTACAGTACTAAGCCACTGCAATGGAGCAGCTCTAATGCTATTAAATTAAAGATGATGTACCATAGAGAAAAAAAATTAACAGTAAAAGTAACAAAAACTAAATTTTTATGGCCATAATTAAGTGTGAAAATAACGAAGGATATACAGTCAAACCAAAAATGATTCAGATACCAGATATAATTTTTGATATTTTTTTTAGTGGGTGCAGGACACCATAGTTCATTTATGTAAGTGAGGACAGCAAAATAAAGTAAACTGTGATAAATTATACCCAAAAATTCTTTATACGGTGGACTACCAGTAAAACTGATAACAAATTTGGGACCAAAAATTATTCAGACCGAGTTTGGGAAAAAAATTGAAGTTCAGGTGTGCATGAAGCTGGGTGACAGCACGCCCAGGAGACTACAGGCTGTCATTAAGGCTAAGGGTTGCCCGACTAAGTATTGATAGTTGTGTAAATACTGTCATACTAACAGCTGTCTGAATAATTTTTGGTTGATTGTAATCCATTACATACCTTTCTATCAAAGTTATATAACATTATCAAGCTGAATTTGTTCTGACAGTTTAACTCCGAGATCTTGTCATATTTTACTACCATTTTCTGAACTATAGCAAATAAACTGTGATAATGTGAGAAATGTTGAAGGTGTCTGAATACATTTAGGTTTGACTGTATCTATTTGATAAATGAAGTTAATCAACTAACATTATACATACTCTTTTGGTTTCTGTACCCAATATTTAAACAATTTACAAATGCAATAAAAAATATTGGTATCGGTACTCTGTATTGGCAAGTACCAAAAATAAAAGTATCGGTATCGGGCAAGTACTGGATAAAGTGGTATCGGTGCATCCCTAATTAGAATCAAATAATATAATGTATAAAATATTATAAACTGTTTCTTTAAGATGAGGCGCTATAAAATACTGTTTATGTAATAATAAATGTTTTTTTTTGTAAGATAAACAATATAGTGTTTATCTTGAACAATTAAGCTTAACGAAAAAGTATCTTAAAAGAAATGGGAAACAGAATGTCAAATAAACACTTTCTTTAGCTGCTGCACAACTTTTCCAGTGGATAGCACATATCTGACCCATTCTTCTATCCAAAAGAGTTTCATTTCATGTATATTTATAGGATGTCTTGCTTGAGTGGCCTGCTTCAGACCACAGCGTTTCAAATGGAATTGGAACCAGGACTCCAGAGAAGACCAAAAAATACAAAATTGCATCCGATTGTGCTGCTGCTGTTGATATACACCTCTGTTTGGGATCACTGCCATGCGGTGTGACCCCACTTCTTTTGAGTTTTAGATCATACAAGACCCTCTATAAATGTGTTCACAATACAGCATAAAATATTTCTTGTTGCTTTTATTTGAGTGTCACTGTCTGAACTGATTGGCATTTGCTTTATTTAATTTATGGATACAGATTTTTTTGCATGTATTATCATTTTCGAGCTGTTTATTTGAGAATAAAAGTCAGGTCATGTTCTAGGCCACATTTGTGCAGAAATCTAAACAAACCCCAAACATTCACTGTCTCAGACTAGCTCTTTTATGTCTAATAAGTCTTTTTAAAGCATTCCTGAGGCTACAGAGGTCTGCAGAGTGTTTAAAGCGCATATGTTAGCTGGCATCTTCTTGGGCAGCGGATGAAAGGATGCTCGTCTCCACGCTGTCACAGTGTAATTGGAGGTGTTCTAAATGGGTCAGATGAAATGGGGGCTGTCGAGCATCTGTCCAGCCCATGCAGGGCCAGCGCAGGGGCCGACACTTTCAACCCCCTCGGTGACAGCAGCACCACGGTGCTTTGATGTTTCCCCGACTGCCAGCACAGAAGAGTGTGTGTGTGTGTGTGTGTGTGTGTGTGTGACAACTAAACTGACAGTTTCCTCACTTCATTGGATCCATAGAGGGGAAAAAACAGTGGATTTCAAAGAGGCATCACTGGTCCGTATGCAAATAGACGCAAATAGCCAATTTTCTGATCTCCTTTACGTGAGGGGGGTTGGATTGGGTGACTATCTTTGATCATCACATGGTTTAATTAAGGAGCCATGCTTTGCCATGTCACTCTCCCTTAGCCTTCTATCTCTCTCCTCCCTTCACTCCATCTCGCTTCACCAAAATGTACTAATTATCATTAAAGCTCAGCTAATACTGTTGCGGCCATGTGTGTTTGGGTGACAGGTCCATATTTTCCATTCCCAAACTGCTCTGTTGAATCCTTTCGTACAACGGATAAAGCCGCTGTTGCTGTCTTTCTCTCTGTGGCCTGCTCTTGTTTGTCAACAGGCAAAAGCCTCCAGCACCCGACCTGCCATCAAAGGGTTTCACACTTCACAGGCCACGGGGATTAGAGGCCTTTCAGACCCATAGAGAGCTGCTCCAACCCACAAAGGCCTCTGGCTATTACAGCAGCTATGAGCACAATGGTGGAGAGAGAAAGAGAGGCGAACTAACAAGTTTGAGTTTGCAGCCATCACTGATTTTCTCTAACGATTCTTTAATAAACATTTCTAAATGATAATTAATACCATGTCAAGGTTATAAACAG